GTAGTAGCTGCAGAAATTGCACGGTACTCGGCTTCTGTTGAGGATCGAGCTATGATTGTTTGTTTCTTAACGCTCCAGGAGATGAGCGTTTCACCAAGAAAGTTGCAGTAGCCGGTTGTGGACTTGCGGTCTTGCTTGTCACCGGCCCAATCGGAGTCGGAATAGGATCGGAGAATCAAAGAGTCACCATTGATCGTGACGCCATGGTGAGTAGTACTGCCGCGGATGTATCTTTGAATTCACTTGAGGTCGTCAAAGTGCTGATCGGTTGGTCAGTGCATGTGTTGGCAGGCTCTGTTGACTGCGAAGGCTATGTCGGGGCGTGTAAGAGTAAGGTATTGTAACGCACCTGTTAGCTGTCGGTACAGGTTTGGATTTGAGAAGGGTGCAGACGGGCCGGAGGGAGTGGTCTTGATGGACATTGGAGTTGCAACAGCCTTGCTGTTTTGCATGCCTGCTGGGTGAAGAATGTCTTCAGCATATCTAGATTGATGCAAGACCAATCCGCTCGGTGTGGGTTCGGCAGTGAGGCCAAGAAATTGAGTAAGAGTGCCCAGATGCCGCATGTTGAACCGGGCGTGCAGTTTAATTTGTCCAATATATGTGTGATGAAAGAATCATTATTGCCCGTTAGTATGATGTCGTCAACATAGATTAAAATATAAACAGCACATTTATCTTTCTTGTATATAAGTAGTGATGAATCAGAGTTACTCGTAGTGAACTCACATTGATGAAGGAAGCCGGTGAAAGTCTCGAACCATTGACGCAAGATTTGTTTGAGTCCATACAAAGCTTTGTTCAGTTTGTAGACATAGGACGGATGATTGGAGTCGACGAATCCCGGAGGTTGTTTCATATAAACGGTTTCTTTTAAGGTGCCATGGAGAAATGCATTTGATATGTCTAAATGATGTATGGGCCATTGGTGATGAAGTGCAAGGGTGATGAGAATCCTGAATGTCGGTATCTTGGCTACAGGACTAAATGTGTCCGTATAATCCAGGCCATATTCTTGATTGTAGCCTAACGCCACAAGGCGAGCTTTATACCGAGATATCGTACAGTTGGAGTTGTATTTTGTGTGGAAGGTCCATTTACATCCAAGTGTATGGTAATGTGGTTGCGAGGGAACGAGCTCCCAAGTCCCTTGAGATTGTAGCGCTTGAAATTCATTTGACATAGCGGTGCGCCAGTGAGCAATTTTGACGGCTTGATTATAGGACGTGGAATCAGGCTCCGAAGTTTGATGGGTAAGGTCGAAGACTGGATTGGGTTTGAGGTGGCCTGTTTGTAGTCTGGTCTGCATGGTATGTCTGTGTTGGACGGGTGTGGTGGTGATGGGATTTGGTGGGCAGGGAATTACAGTGGCTGGTTGAGGACTCGGGGCCGGAGAGTGTGGCTGCTGGGTTGGTGGCCTGGTGTGTGTGATAGGAGTGGAGGTGGGTATACTGGATACAAGAACGAGGAGCAAGGGTGAAGTAGTGTAATTGGGTTGAGATGGTGATGTATTGCTTTTGGTGATGTTGCTGTGAAAGGGAAACAGATGTTCGGTGAAGATTACATGACGAGAAGTGAAGACTCGATTTGTGGTGGGGTCAAGACACTTATACCCTTTTTGCTGAGAGGAATAGCCGATGAATACGCAGGGTATAGATAGAGGTGATAGTTTGGATTTCGAATAGGGACGGAGCCAGGGGTAACATAAGCATCCGAAAGCTTTAAGATGATTATATGAGGGAGATTTGTTATAGAGTTTTTCAAATTGTGTGTTGTGCTGAAGTGTAGTGGTGGGTAGCCGGTTTATGATGTGTATAGCCGTGTGTAAGGCCTCAACCCATAAGGTAGGAGGGGCATTGGCATGGATTAGTACGCTCCGAATTGTTTCAAGAATGTGTCGATTCTTGCGTTCTGCTACGCCGTTTTGAGCCGGTGTGTATGGGCAAGAGTATTGGTGTTGAATGCCCTGTTGTTGACAGAAGTGTTTAAAAGTATTGTTTAAGTACTCACCTCCGCCGTCGGTACGGATGATTTTGAGGTTGGTATTAAATTGGCATTTGACCATTTTGGAAAACAGTATGAACTTGTTTGTAACTTCTGATTTGTGAGCTAGCGGAAAAACCCAACAAAACTTTGAAAAATCGTCAATGAAAGTAACAAAATAACGAAAGCCTTGTAAAGAAATAGTTGGGGAAGGGCCCCAAACATCTGAGTGTATTAGTCCAAAAGAATGAGTAATAATGGAAGTGGAAGCAGGAAAAGATAGTTGTCTACTTTTAGCTACATGGCATGTATTACAATTATTATTTGAAAGTTTAGTACATATTTTGGAAAGAACAGATAAGTGTTGCAACGTAGTGTTGGCTGGGTGACCAAGTCGCAAATGCCGTAGATCCGGTACAGTGTTGATCGAAATTAAAGCAAGATCCGATGCTGGTTGTTTGGACCGAACCGAGTACATACCTCTATGGCAAGGTCATTGAAGCAGTATGTGATTGGTCATCGTATCCTTTATTTGATATCCATGACAATTAAAAGAAACGGTGCAGTTATTATCACGGGTTAGTTGATAAATGGATAGCAAATTAAATGAAAGATTTGGTACTTGATGAATGTTGTAGAGGACCAGATTACCTGATGGGGTGGGTAGAATTCCATTACCTGTGTGCTGTATGGGAAGCTGGTGCCCATTTCCGATAATGACCTGGGAATTTCCGGAGTAGGGCTCTGGATTGTTGAGTTGAGAAGCATTGGATGTTAGATGTGAGGATGCGCTGCTGTCCAGGTACCAGTCTGTTGCCGCTGTGCTTTCTGTTGTGCCGATCAAGGATGATTGCTGTGTGTTGGCCGTGTAGTTGAGATCACTCCGGTGCCAGCACCGAGAAGCTGAGTGTCTCAGTTTAAAACAGATCTGGCGGGTAACGTTACGATCAGGGTTGTTTGATCCACGACCATATGGGGTTCTAGCGCCACGACCTCGACGGCCACGGTAGCCGCTGTTTCGGCCTGAGCCGCGTCCACGAGTAGCAGTAAGTGCCATAGTAGAGTTAGTCAGATGTGTAGCTAGCATTGAGATCTTTGATGGTTTCTTGAAGTAGGTTCTGTTCCTCTATACAGAGTAGGCTGTACAGATCATCAAGACTTATGGGTTGTAGATTTGTTCGAATTGCTGTCTTGAAGGATTGGTAGGTAGCGGGAAGGCCGTTGAGAGTGTAGAGGATGACGTCTTCAAGATCTAGACGGGTTCCTGCGGCAGCAATTGCGTCGACCTTCGTTTTGATGTCCAGAAAATAGGCGGACATGGATTTATCACCCTTGGTGAGATGGTGTAAATCGTTCTTTAATTAGATTACACGAGATCGTGTAGTTGATTGGAGACGATGAAGGAGGGTGGACCAGATCTCCGAGCAGGTAGTGAGGGATAAGACGTATGGTAAGATTGATGGAGATATTACCGAGCACAGTGCGGCTGCAAGGTGTTGATCCGTGAGCTGATCGAAGATTAACCATCTGGGAGTCGGTTTCTTGTTGGTCGGAGCCATCGGGGATGGTGTGAATGGAAATCGTGCCGTCCAAGAACCCTTTGAATCCGTTGGCGCAAAAGACTTTTTCCACCTGGGATTTCCAGATCGGAAAGTTGTCGGAGGTCAGGGTGGCGGTGATAAGGTTCTTGATATTGCTGATCAAGAATTTTAGCTGGGGCGTGATGACCGGTTGGATTTGCAGAGAGGTATTGGCCATTGTGAAAGAGGATGAAGAAGATTGATTAGCCATGAAGAAGGAAAAGAGTTTGAAGGAAGACAAAGAACCGCGAGATCAAGGCAGAGCTTGGAAAAAAATTCAGATATCCGAGTTGTACCGCTCTGATACCATGATGAATTGTGTAAACCGTGAGGTAAACATGAAAGAGACAGAACAAATGCCAAATGCATTAACTCATATTTGGATATTATTAATGATTACAGAATACATAGTATAGGTGGCTATTTATAGATAACAGATCGGCCTATTCACCACTAGGATATTTACACGTGGATAAAGATTTACAAAGATGTTACTGTACTTTCTTTGATTTGGAACTCTCTAGAGTATTGATCTTTAATAGGTCGATGGCTGAAAATGACTTGAAACAGCTCAAAATGAATTTTCTCTTACTAGAAAACTCTCTCTCTCTCTCACTAGGCGGCTTCTCAAATGGAATGGATTGGGTGTAAAGTGGCTTTGGATAATTTTAAGTGCAGAGATTGTCGGCTGACCGTTAGGGTGCTTGTTCATTTTCCAAATTCTTGATACTACGTACAACATTTGGACGCTAGAAAACACAGTGCCTGGGTGCTCTAGAAAAAAAAAAAATCACACAAACAAACATTCAGATCACCCCTATAAAACTCACTTCAAAATTGATAAAAATATTTTTATATAGAGATAATTCTAAGACATATGCAAGTGAGTTCAAATGCAGAAATTCAATAGATTACCTGACTTATAATCCGATCAAATCAGTTTGAACAATACTCCAATTGTGGAGGTTGGTTTCACACCATGTCTCAATTAAAAGTTGTGATTCAATTTTTAAACGGTACATAATTTAAGACGAATACAACTGTATATAATTTTTACAATGAATCCCCCCTCAAAATTGTCATACTTACATTGTTTTTGTTCTTGGTCAAGCTATTCAATTACCAAACTGTGAATTCCCCTCCGTAACGTACAAGATACTCCGTTTAAGATATATTTGGTTCCTCTCGAATACACGAAAATATAATATTCTATCCCTCTCTTCTCCCCTATCGTACAAGCAATACTACATACTTCATTGCACCTACGTGCAATTTGTTTAACCAATCCTTCACCATTCTTTATTTGCTAGCAATATTTTCCCCAACTATATAACCCCAACAATCTCAAAAACTTGTTTCTTTAATTCAAATTACTGAATATAGTCCACGTACACGTCTAGGTACACTGATGTATATTGAACAAATCTCAACAAGACCATGTCTGCCCTTCCATGGCTAACTCTCTCCACCATCATCTGGCTCCAAGCCATTGCCGGCACCAACACAGACTTCCCAGCCTACTCCTCTGAGCTCAAGTCTCGCCTCCACATAACCCAATTCAAACTCAATAACCTCGCCGTCGCCTCCGACGCAGGCAAGCTCCTCGGCTGGTGCGCCGGGCTCGCCGCCAAACGCCTGCCGCTATGGGCGGTGCCGGCCATCGGAGCCGCGCTTGGTGCCGTGGGCTACGGAGTGCAATTCCTTTTCTTCTGCCGCAAAATCACATCTCTCTCCTACACACAATTCTTTTTCCTCAACGTGCTGAATGGCAACAGCATCTGTTGGTTAAATGTGACGGGTTACAGATCCGTTATGCGACAGTTTTTGAGAAAGGATCACGGCGCCGTTATCGCGCTAACGACGAGTTACATGGGCTTGACGGTGAATATCTACTTAGCTTTGGCTCAGGTCATTGTTGGGAGAAAGAATGCGGTGAGCGATAAGAGTGTATATTTGTTGCTTAATGCGGTGACGCCGGCGGCGGTTGCGTTGTTGGTTATGCCGACGGTTGCAGCGATGAGGGAGAAGCCGAGGGATGTGAAGGCCGGTCTTGTGATAATGTTTGTTATTGCAGGGGTGACTGGGGCGTATGCGGTGGTTGACACGATGGTTCCGGCTGTGAGGAGGTCATCGGGCATATGGCCGGCGACGGTTTTGTTGGTGATGGTGGCGGTGGTGATAGTGGTGCCGGTTTGGAAGGTGGGGGAGTGGGTAATCGGAAGGGGAAGAGAGGAGGAGAGGGATGGTGGAGATGTAGAAGGAGGCGGGAAGAAGGCGGAGGAGACGGCGGTGGAGGCGGTG